CCTATAAAATCAACCGACTCCATTGGATTTAGCCGCAATCAGAAATCTGATTTGTTACCATTACCATCCGTGGATTTGCTGGGTAATTATAATGTTGGTGTTGGATGTGCAGGGTTTCCAACACCCAACTGAGAATCGTGAAAGAACTGGCAGTCCAAGCAATTGAGAAAAATGAGTGTACCTGCCTGCATTTCCACCCCCATATGGATGGGATGAACTACCAAAGAAATATCAGAGGACAAATAAGTGGATTATTAATAATCATCATGAAATCATATGGGAAACTGGATCCATACCATATGAGTTTCAAGATACAATTACCCAAATCACGGAAGGAGTGACAATCATCTTCATGAATGGACTGGAGAAGAGACAATGGTTGCAGTTTTACACTAAGTTGATAATCAACTTGAATAATTTGGGGTGCTCAAAAGCGAAGAATTTGATTACCCCCAGATGCTGGAACCACCGAAAGCACAGTCTCATTGAGAATTACACCTGTGAATATGAAAATTGTAGGAAGCTGGTGAAATGTTACACAAAGTACTTTGATTCGACTCTTGATCCAACCACTAACTTCTTCGATTGAATGCGGGATATGCAAATGTTGTAAGCAGATTCCACACATCTCCTGAAAAGATTTCTCTTGAACGTCACAAAGATGTGGAACGCTATATAAATTCTCTTTTTTAATAAAAAATGAATGCCGTAAGAAGGACGGCGGAGCTCAATATTTACAAGAAATTTAAAATGAAGAAATGGCTAGGAGCCGGGTAGCTCAGGTGGGAAAGTACCCGATGCATAATCGGAAGGTTCCGAGTTCAAGTCCCGGTCTGGACTATCCATTTTTTTCAGTAAATATTTCTTGTTAATTCATATTCAGAATAATCCCGGATCCCCTACTACCTAATCTAAATCCTATCCAACTAATTTGTGGAACGCTATATAAATTCCCTTCTTTAATGTTTAATGAAGAAAAATGTGGAACGCTTCATGCTTCTTTTCATTAAAGAAGGGAATTTATATAGCCTTCCACATCTTTATGACGTCATAGGAAATTAGTTGGATAGGATTTGGATGAGGTAGGAGGGAATCGGGGATTATTCTCAATATGAATTAACAAGAAATATTTACTGGAAAAAATGGATAGTCCAGACCGGGATTTGAACCCGGGATCTTCCGATTATGCATCGGGTGCTCTCCTTTTTTTTTTAACCATGTTTTTATTATGAGTCACAACGTTATTTACATATATACAGTATCTACATTTATAAAAACTAGTCTAAAAAAAGTTAATGTGTGTTATTTTGTTTCTTAGAGCAAACTTTGGTCGAAACTAGTTGACTCCCGAGTTTGAATAATATCTGTGTTTACATTGTATTTGCTATGAGTTATTGGTGTTCCTTGTAGGATTAATTCGTTTACTTTATATTTAGATTTGTATTGAGCTTAAAAAAAAGGGGTGAAGTGTTGGTACTTCATTTTTGCCTTTATGGGACAGTAAAAAAAAGCGCTTCTTTCTTGGCATGAGGTTTGTGTTGATTGTAATTGCTTAATCTATTCTTAATAATAATAATGCTTTTCTAGCATGTTCTGTGTATTTAATATTTCTAATTACATTTATTAGCATTAACAACATTGTTCCTTGTGGGCTATAGTACTAAATTATGGTTTATTTTTTGATTTTATGTTCATTCTTTATTGTTATTTTGACTTTTTCTTTTCTTTTCTTTTTCTTTCGAATTGTATGGATTTATGGAGGTCTGTAGTTGTTCCTCCTATATCTATTTTGACTATTATTATTTCTATTTTGTGCTCGAAATCTCTCTTCTCGATTTTTAACCGCTCTTATAAATGTGTCATTTTCTTCTATCCACCAATATTTCTTATTAATTCTTGAGAAATTATTGGTGTCGACTTGTGGTATGTCCCTGGGGGAGATCATTTCCCTGTTCATGAACTCGTCTATAGGGATTTTTTTGTTTCTTTTGTATCTTTTTATATGAAATAGGATGGGTTTGTTATACTCATCTTTTGTTTTACATTCCCACACCTGGCTCTGCCAATCGCCTCGTCGTCTGGAAACTCGGCCAGCTTTTTAATTCTTTCAATATTTATATATTTGATTTTGTCGAAATAGTCTCTAGATAAAGTTAAGATGAAATTGTCTATTCTTGGGATTTCAGCCCTTGCGTATAGATATTTGTTGCTAACTCGATGATGGTAATTGGTGTGAGCCGATCTGTATAAACATAAACATGTCCTTAGACATTTTCTTTCAAAGACTCTGAGGGTTTCCACTTGCTAGGCTCCCATGTTCCATAGTAATTGTGAATCGTAAGTTAATAGTGGTCTAGTCAGGAGGAGATATCAGATTATTTTTGCTTTTTTGTTAATGTGTTTGTTGTGGAAGAGATAGCCGAGTGACTTAAATCTTTTCCTCGCATTTTCAATCTGAATATCAGCGTGGGTGGAGCATCTGACTACATAATCAATATTAATGCCAAGGTATTTTACTCCTTTTTTATTTGGGATTTCGGATTTTTTGTTTGTCTCTGAGTTTGTTATCTTTATTTTGAATTCTGCGATACTTTTTTTCTTTTTTTTGAGGATATTTTGGCTAAAATATCTCTAAAGAGGATCGCTTTGGATCGTAAATCCAAGCTTTACTTGGATTTACTGTCAGATTCCAAGCGGCGTACATATTATTCGCCTTGTTGACTAGGGAATTCAATTTTTCGGTGATTTCGGTTCCATCTTTTCCGGCAACATATATTATACGGTCATCGGCGTATGCTATTGAGTAGGTGTTATTGTCGTTGTTGAGGTCAAACGCGTCAATCACGTGCGCCGTAAAAATTGAGAATAGGCATGCGGAGTTGATGGTTCCTTGTTGCAAACCTTCAGTTATTGTAAAACTTGCACTCAGGGTGTTGTTTTGGCTGATTACTTTAAAATTTTTGTCGTGGATTATGTTCCATATGGTTCTGATTAGTGGGGTTGGGAATTTATTTTTTATTAACTGGTATATTAAGCCATTAATCCATATAGAATCAAAGGCTTTTTCCAAGTCTAATAGGACGGCGCCAACCATTTGATTTTGAAAGATGTGTTCATTGACATCGGATAGTATTTTATTAACTGCATGTAAAATTGAGTGTTGGTGTCGGAAACCGTATTGGTGGTCGGGTATTATTTTTTGTTCGTTCGCGTAACTCATTATGGAGTTGTTGATAACTGCTTCATATATTTTGCTAAGGGCGGGGGTCATGCTGATGGCGCGATAACTTGAGGGATCTGTTGGTAGTTTACCTTTTTTGTGAATTGGTATTACGACTGCGGTTTTCCATTAATTCGGGAAATAGTAGTTATTGAGGGCGTTATTAAATATTATCGTCAGGTCACTTATCATTTTTTTTGGGATGTGTTTGATTACTATGGGGGGTTTTTATCGATACCACTTGATACTTTATTCGGTAGGTATTTTAGTATTAGTTTTATGGTCGTTGTGTTTGTGAAATAATTGTTTATAGTTGAGTTGTTATTGGCGTTCATAGCTAGTTTATTTTCATCCAATTGAGTGATTGTTGACCCATGCGTAAGGTCCGTTAACATTTCGGTTTTAACTTCTTCTATTTTATTATCGATTATTTCCTTTAATCGCGTATTTTTATTTAGATATCGGGGGGAATTTATTGTTTAGTAGTGGGCGCCTAGAACGTTGATTATATCTAATTCGTTATTTATTACGAATTCATCGTTATTAATTGGTATTTTGTTAATATTGCAGCCTGCTTTGTTGATTAGGGAGTTGTTATTTGTTTTTATTCGTAATTCTTTTACGGGTTCTTTTTTTTTTGGTCGGAAGATGTTGTTTATTGTTGGCATGAATTTTTCTGTCTTTGTAATTTATTTTTTTAAAGATGTTTTGGCAATGTTTCTCGATGGATCGTTGAAATTCGTTATTCAATAGTTTTTTGTAATTGTTGATCAAGTTTAAGGTAAAGGTAAAGGTAAAGGTAAAGGGTTTGAATATTCTGCTTGTTCGGGTCTTTTTTTTAGGCATTTATTATAGGTTGTTAGTAGTTTTCTTTTATATTTATTCAGTTGCTTTATTTTCTTGTTTGAGTATTGTTTGATATTCCCGGAGGGGCATTGTTTAAGGATATCGGTATCAATGGATGATTTGATAAAATCTGTGAATTCTGTGATATATTTATCTATTTCTTCGTTTGTTAAGTTCCTGTCATTTGGGATTTCGGTATTATAATTATCTAGTAAATATTTGGTGAACGTGTTCCAATTAGTTTTTTTGTAATTAAAGTAGAATTGGTTTTGGGGATCTTCATATTTAATTCCGGAATTGGGGTCGAGTTTTAAGTGGATAATTAGCGCTTTGTGGTCACTATCATAAATATGGGTTCCGATTTTTTCATCTTGTAAGTTAAAACATTTAATCTGTTATCCACCAGGGCTAAATCTAGGAATGACTGAGCGTTAATATAAGTGAAATCAATCGGCGGTATAATATTTAGTTTATACCTATGTTCGTTAGCCAGCTCCCAGACACGAAGGTGACGGCCTTTATCGTTATTTGTGAAATCACCGTAGCACTGATGTCTAGCGTTTAAATCTTCTGAGATTAGATAATATTTATTTGCGTTTGCTAGTTTGAGCTCATTGAAGAGGAAGGTGATCTCGTCCAGGAACACTTGTCTGCGTCTTTCCGCATTAGTTACGTATACACTGATAATAAACAATTGTTTGTTATCGTTTGTTATTAATTTTATAACTGTATATTCTAATGCTGTATTATTTATTGAATTTGGATAATTTATTCTTGTATATTCAATTCCTTTTTTCATGATAATGGCCGCGCCTCCTGAAAATTTGGAGTTGGCTCTGTCGGTTCTTTCAAAATTATAATTATCAAATTTTATTTTGTGATTGTTATTAAGTTTTGTTTCTCCTAGTAGAGCTATATCTATGTTGTTATTTTCTAAGAATGATTGCAAGAAGAATCTTCTTTGTTGTTTAACTATGGAGTTGACGTTGATTGATGCAATATTTATTTCTTGCATTATTGTTTTTACTGAGTTTGGATTGTTATTGTTTTGTGAATTTATGCGATTATTGGCCATTGAGATTGAGGTGAGTTAAAATTTTATCGATATTTTTCTTATTTGTCTCGACTTGTTCATTGATTTTACCGAAGTTATTTGCAATATGTGATAGTAAATTTTTCATTTCTTTAGCCCAGTTGGGGATAACCTCTACCTGAGGCTGCGAATTAGAAGTACTGGGGTTCTCATGAATTTGCTCCTGAGTGATATTTGGATTGGAATTGTAATTCGACTGATTTTCTTGGTGATTATAACTTTTGGGTCTGTTGATTTGTTGTTTGGGACGATATTGGGTGTTCGACAAATCAGCAAAAGAGATACTTGGTGTTATTCTCTTACTGATTCTTTGTATTTTATCGTTTGTTTCATCGTTGTAGTTTTGTTGTTTCGCTTTTGCACTCTCCAGTGCATTTTTATAATATGTGGAGCCTTTGTAATTGGCAGGATGACCAGTCTTTTTATAGTTTGCGCATTTGAGTAACGCGCGATCTGAATCTTTGTTTATACTACCAACTCCTGGTTTGTGCGATTGGCTGCATTTAACGCAGTGAAATTATAGGGAACAACTACCACTGGCGTGGCCCAGTCCTTGGCATTTTTTGCATTGAAAAAGGCTGGTTTTTCTGAGGGGTTCCCATTTAATCTTTTGGTAGAGTAGTATTGAGATCTTAGTTAATTCATTGATTTTTGAATCGGAGGATAATTGTACTAAGTGTACATGCTTGTTTGAATTTTTATTGATGTTATGTCAAAGGTGATCAATATCCCAAGGCAATTTAGGAATATAACATGAAACCAATCACTGACATAAACTTGAGTTTTAAACTGAAATGAAATTTGAAGAGATTCAATTTTAAGTAAAAACTGTAACTCGAGAAAATTACTCTTTATACAGCACTGAATTTCAATTTTTTATGGAAACTTCAAAAGAATTTGTTGGAGAAGAAACAAAGGTTGAGAAATAAAAAGTAGAAGAATTTTATTTAAACTAACTCTTGCGAGTCTATATTTTGACAAATCAAAAATAAAAGGAAGCAATACAAAATTAATTTGTAACTTACAAATTTGTAGACTGCTAATTCCAAATTGGTTAAACTTAATTACACACACTTGCCGCGAATGATTCTACACAAGTAAAAGTTTGAAAGGTAATTTAAATTGATTGAATATCAATCAAAACTGACTCGACTACTAATTTTTACAAATTGAATAAAATCAAGTAAGTTTGAAACTTATTTAACTCGAGTCAGAAGACCCTACTAAAAGAGTTATAAGTAACTCTTGAAATCGCCCAGAGGGTCGATGAGAAAATTCCACTTTGGGAATTGTGAGGGAACTGAGGAACTACCCGAAGTGCAAGTGGTTTTGTTAACTGCACTAAGGGTGTGACCTCACACACTTCTGGAGGGAAAACTCGGGGCCAATGGTATGCGACCTTGGGCCAGAGTTTCCCGCCCCAAACTCATCAGTCCCAATGTTTCAGGGCTACTCCATCCCTTCCACATTGAGACTGGAAAATTCGTTGGGGTGTGGGCGGACTTTTCCACCCCCAATTAACCAATTAAATTTGTTTCAGGAGTCCCATGTTCTCCCTCCACAATGTTCCATTGAAATAATTTAATAATTAACTTATTGTTTAAGAACTTAATTATTTATTATGAACTATTAATATTTCTTTGTTCTAAAACGCTCAATTTTCAAACGTTTAAAATAACTAACGCATCTTAAATAATTATTACTATCATTCCTTTGACAATCCAAAATTTTCCGAATCGAGAATTTTGGAAAATCAAATATTCCAAATGAAAAAGAAGGATCAATTCCGTTGTTTAATAGAAGATAATTGAATGGATTGAGAATATAAAGTTATCATAATTCAATTGACCTTTCAAATGACTGAAAA